CTGGGCTGAGGGATCTCCCCCCCCCTCCCCCAGTGCACAAATGTCATGCACCGGGCCTCTAGTCCTATATAATCCTATATAATAAAGAGCTAATATGCTAACTAGACCAAACAGCAGAATGACCATCTGGACATCCTTCTGGATGACTGTCCAGACAACCATCAGGACGAAGCTGGGGCTGCAAGGGCCAGCCGGGGCTGTGAGGGCTGACCAGGGCTGCAAGGGCCAAGCCCCTTGCATGAATTTCATGCATCGGGCCTCTAGTAAAAGAATAATATGCAAATAGACCGAACGGTGGAACGACCGGTCGCTATGACACACACTGACCACCAGGGGGCAGTCACTTAATGCAGGAGCTGCCCCTTGGTGGACAGTGTGCTCCCACAGGGGTAGCGCCACTCAGCCAGAAGCCAGGCTCACGGCTGGCGAGCGCAGCGGCAGTGGTGGGAGCCTCTCCTGCCTCTGCGGCAGCGCTAAGGTTGTCCGAATGCCAGCTTAGGCCTGCTCCCCACGGGCAGTGGACCTAAGCCATCAGTCAGACATCCCCCCAAGGGCTCCCAGACTGTGAGAGGGCGCAGGCTGGGCTGAGGGACCGCCCCCTCCTCAGTGACAAATAATAGCATTGTAGCAAAGCAAGCAATGTCATGCACCGGGCCTCTAGTCCCCTATAATATCCCTTAAAATAAAAATATTTACATCAGGTTCTTGGATAACATAGTTTCATTCAACGTCCTTTTGTTATAACATTGATGAGAGAAAAAAACTTGATCCTCAGCTGGGGCTACTGTCATGTGGAGTTTACACATGCAGCCCATGTCAGTATGAATTTACTCTGGGTACTCCGATTTCCTCCCACGTCCCAAAGATGTACATGGTAGGTGAATTGGCATGTCTACATTGTCCCAGTCTGAGTCAGTGTGGGTGTGTGTGAGTGTGTGACAAGACAGTAAGAAGCTAGGAAAATTCCTGGGAAAGTGAAATAGAAAAACTAAAACAAGAAAATTAAAAAAGGACACACAGTTTAGGCACCTTGCAGCCAGCTTGTGAATCACAAGACCTTATTTTCCCCAACCAAAGACACCTGAGAGCAAATGGTTAATAGCTCTCCCTCTCCTCCCCCAGAGAATATATAACTTAAATCACCCTGGGGGGAAAGGAAAAGGAAAAAGGGGGAATTTTATCTCACCCATTGAACAAGAAGTTAGCCCATCTTAGGACATGCCAAACAAGATGACCAGGTGTATGTACAAACATCCCAAGAAAAGCCACAACAAAGTAAAAGGGACTTTGAAACCTAAACTGCTACCCAAGATATCCAGCAGTAGAACCTTGAAAAAGAAGGATATAAAACTCCATGAACCCCCACCGGGTGCATGCTCAGATTAGCTGAGTGGGCCCCTTGTGCTACATGGCAAGTATATTTTTAATAAATTTGCTTGCCTTGCTTCATTAATAAATTTGCTTGCTTTGCTACAATGCTATTATTTGTCACTCATCTGAAGTCTTTCTTACCAGACTGACAAGAATTGAGGAGAGGACAGCCCTCTCCCTCTGACTCAGGGGGCTGTCCAATAACATATTTTCTAGGTCCAATAACAAGTGGCCCTGTGATCGAAGGGCATCCTGTCCAGGGTGGATTCCCACCATGTGCCCTGAATTGCTGGGAGAGGCTCCAGCCACTCACGACCTTGAACGGGAATAAGCAGGTTGGAAAATAATTATCTTACTTGTTTTTACTAATCTTTTCTAAATGTATGTATAATTCACATTTATTTCAATGTTTAATAATCGTAATGTTTTGATTTTATTTAGAATTTTGGTTCCCAGTCAGTGAGGCTAAGTGGTTGACAGTCGACCTATGAACCATGAAGTCACAATTCAATTCCTGTTCAGGGCACATGCCCTGATTGCAGGCTCAATCCCCAGTGGGGGGCATGCAGGAGACAGCCAATCAATGATTCTGATCATTGTTGTTTCTATCTTTCTCTCCTTCTCCCTTCCTCTCTGAAATCAATAAAAATATTTATTTTTTTTAAAAGAAGTTTGGCGATGTTTTTGTGACCAGAAATATGCCATAGGAACTTAACTCTTGCATTCTCAGTTGGTCTATGGTAAAACTGGTTTCATTATACACTGTTTCACATAAAGACACCGTTTCTAAAAACTTATCGACAACTTACTGTAATGAGAACTTACTGTAAATGTTATGCTGAGTTCTTATGTGAGCCTCTCTAACAAACTAGCCAAATCTGAGGTGGAGGTTTTGGAAACCTCCCACTTACAGCCAGTCAGTCAGAAGCACAGGTAATAAACTGGACTTGCAACTGGCATCTGAAGTGGGGGCAGTTTTGTCGGACTGAACCCTTAACCTGTGGGGTACAATGCTATCTCCAGATAGTGTCAGAACTGAATTAAATTGCAGCACAGCTAGTCAGTGTCTACTGAGAACAGGAGAAGTGCTTGGTGGTATTGGGAAAAACACACTTCAGAAGCACTATAATCTCAAGAAGCAGTGACCTGACAGAACATATTTCTTCGCATAAAAGAATCCCTTTATCTTAAAAACACTAATGACTGGGGTTTATAAATATGATGTTAGCACCACAAGAGTGCCCACATCAAAATAACCTTGGTTGGAATACATTTTTTATTGTTGCATATGAAAGGAAAGGAGAATATAAGAGACAAGGACTTACGAGTGGTAGGTGGAGACAGAAGCACAGAGATTTACAAGAGAGTCTAACAAATTTTAGTTCATCATATACAGCCATCACTTTATAAATCCTCCTTATCTACATACAGTAGTGGGTCTCAAAGTGTGGTCCCCAGTTCAACCACAACATCACCTGTCAGAAATGTGCATTCCTGGTCCCCACCTCAGACTTACTGAATCATTCTCTGGGGAAGGAGACCGGGAATCTGTTTTAACAAGCACCCCAGATGATTCTGATGCACACTAAAGCTGAGAACCAGTAATCTCCAGTAAAGTCAAATACCTTTAAGATAAGGCACAACTAAATCAGGAAATTCTAGAAACTGAGTAGCAGAATTTTACTATATCACTATGGGTCCTGTGGAGGAAACGTTTATCTCTCCTTTTTTATAAGACATTTAATAAAAAATGCTTTTCCAATACCATCTAACTAACATTACTTAAGAATTTTTTCATGATCTAAAATTTTCAGTTCATTCATAGGTTGCTTTGTGCTCAACAAAACAAAACAAAGCAAAAGTTTTGAGAGAGGACAATGATACATTCCCAGGCAAAACGTACAGGCTGAGGCACCATATTATAAATTGCTAAGCTTAAAATTAAGTTTTTTAGTTCTTCCATCACATGGGACATAAAACTCATCAGTAAAAACTAAAAAGGGCCAATGCATATAATATTTCTACAAAATTTGCACTTATCATATGAAAATTTGCCAAAGGGGACAAAATCCTGCCAAAGAGGCAATTCCTCTGCCAATTTAATTCAGACTATTAGCATTTCTTCCTATAGGAAAAAATAAATACCTTTAAACTGCTTGATCATGTTCTGATGGTTTTCAATGGCTTCCTTTAAGATCACTTCAGGCTGGTCCATCTTCCATCGCCATTCAGTGCCCACTGGATTGGTGTGGTGCCTAGGAAAAAGAGGCAAAAGTTCTAAAGTACTCTCTGTAATAAGATCTCAGCTATCATCTACTATGATGACGTAGTTAAGAGCGGTAGCTAGAGAAGTGCCTGGATGAGACTAAGGTTTAATCATAACAATATCAAATGTGTACCCCTCTCTCCAAGCCTCCCACTACCAGACTAACAAGCATTTAATAACAGTAGAATATTGCCAGAATAATTGCAAGATCATAGTGACAGACCCTTCCTGAGAGGCAGCGCAAGGGGAAGACCTAAAGCTTAGGAAGGATCAGATATTGAGAAAAAAACCTCTGGCAGACAGACCAACCTCCATCCTATACACAAGGTAATCCTAAAGGAATTTTAAGGCAGTGATACACTGATGGTATTCACAAAAACATCAAAACTTAATTCATGCCCAAATCTTGACTAAATTAACTCAAACTCCAACAAAAAAGGCGTAGCAGAAAGAAAATGCGTGCTGACTTTAAACTACAGAAAACATTTACCTCAGTCTCTAATGCACTAAACAAAATGTCCCACTTGAAACAAAAACTTATAAGGTATACAAAAAAGCAAGAAAAACAATACACTTCCAATAGAAAGCATCAAAAAAACCAAACTCTTTATTTACATATATATATATATTTTTTAATCGATTTCAGAGAGGAAGGGAAAGGGGGAGAGAGATAGAAACAGCAATGATGAGAGAGAATCATTGATCAGCTACCTCCTGCACACGCCACACTAAGGATTGAGCCTGCAATCCAGGCATGTGCCCTGACCAGGAATCAAACTGTGACCTCCTCGTTCATAGGTCAACACTCAACCACTGAGCCATGCCAGTTGAGCAAAACCAAACTCCTTTGATATAAGTGTTGGCACTGACAAGAAATTTTTTAAAACTAGGATTAATATGTTAAAAACTCTAATAAAAGAGGTGAGCAACATGCAGGATCAAATGGGTAAATTCAGCAGAGATGGAATTTATAACACACAATCAAACAGAAATGCTAACTATGAAAAAATAGGTCTTCAACAGTTTCAACAGATTAGAACCAGCTGAGGAAAGAGTAAAAGAACTTGAAGAGAGCAATACAAATAAGCCAACTAAAACACAAAGACTAAAAAATAAAAAGTTTAAGTGAAATAAAGAACACAGTATCCAAGAGTATTGGGAAAATATCAAAGATCCAAAATACACATAATTGGAATCCCAGGAGGAAAACAAAGGGTAAAAAACAGGAAGAAATAGTAGAAAAATTATAGCCAACTATTTCCTAGAGGTAATGAGAAACAACCACACATCCAAGTTCACAGAACAACCAACAAGATATTTTTCTAAAGCCTAAAAATATCATATCCAAACTGATGAAATAAAAAGAGAAAATCTTTAAGTTAGAGAAAAAAGACACATTATATTACAACAAAGATAAAAATTACACCTGACATCTCATCAGAAAATAAGCCAGCCCAGAAGCACTAACATCCCAACAGAAATGAGCACATGAAACATCCAAATTTTAGAATCTAACTACCATTCTTCAATAAAAGAAACTATGGTTCCTTAGAAAAACAGTTGATCCCAGGGCTGGGCAGAGAAAACACAAGATGAACCTAGACTCTTCTGGAGTCAGAAAATACAGAAATATTTTTAAAAGAAAGAAAGAAAAAATACAGGAGACAATCCAAAAGAGCTCCCAACTGCCAAAGCTGGAAAAATATGAACAATAAAATGAATAACAATACTATAGGATTAAAACCAAAGGAATTAGTATCCTTGAGTCCAAACTAATTTAAACAAATAATTTCTTGATTTTGATGACTAGTCCATGGTTATTTAAGGTCTTAACATTACAGAAAGCTGGGTAAAGAAAACATAGGAACGCTACTATTTCTGTAACTCTTCTGTAAATCTAAAATTATTTCAAAACAAAATGTGCCTATAAGACTAAATTATAGAATAAGAATCTTATACTTTAAAAACATATAGGTAGAAAAAAAGAACAAAAAAACAAATATATATGTGTGTATGTGTGTATATATATGTATATATATATATATACATGTATGTGTATGTGT